GGTGGGCAGATCACGAGGTCAGGAGTTCGAGACCAGCCTGACCAACATGGTGAAACCCTGTCTCTACTAAAAATACAAAAATTAGCTGGACATGGTAGCACACACCTGTAATCCCAGCTACTCACGAGGCTGAGGCAGGAGAATCGCTTGAACCCGGGAGGCAGAGTTTGCAGTAAGCCAAGATCACGCCACTGCACTCCAGTCTGGGCGACAGAGCGTGACTCCGTCCCCCCAAAAAACAAAAACAAAACAAAAAAATAAGCAAGAATAATAATAGTCCTCCTATGTCAAAGGAGTTCCTATCTCAAAGGAGTTCCAGTGAGAAACTAGATGTAAAGTGCTTGGCACAGGGCCTGGCCCATAGGTAAATGCTGGATCATCACATTACTACGACGGCCAAAGGCTCTGATCATGAGGGTACCATCAGATAGGAAAAAAGAACAAATGGCATTACACTGACGTTTGGGGATATTTAGAATGCAGTGTATGAAAAACTGGTAATCTACTTTGGTAGGCCAAGGCAGGCAGATCACTTGAGGTCAGGAGTCCAAGACCAGCCTGACCAATAGGGCGAAATTCCATCTCTACTAAAAATACAAAAATTAGCTGGGTGTGGTACTGGGCGCCTGTTATCCCAGCTACTTGGGAAGCTGAGGCAGGAGAATCACATGAACCCGGGAAGTGGAGGCTGCAGTGAGCCAACATCGCACACTGCACTGTAGCCTGCGTGACAGGGTGAGACACTGTCTCAAAAAAAAAAAAAAAAAAAAGAGCCGGGCGCGGTGGCTCAAGCCTGTAATCCCAGCACTTTGGGAGGCCGAGATGGGCGGATCACGAGGTCAGGAGATCGAGACCATCCTGGCTAACACGGTGAAACCCCGTCTCTACTAAAAAATACAAAAAAACTAGCCGGGTGAGGTGGCGGGCGTCTGTAGTCCCAGCTACTCGGGAGGCTGAGGCAGGAGAATGGCGTGAACCCGGGAGGCGGAGCTTGCAGTGAGCTGAGATCCAGCCGCTGCACTCCAGCCTGGGCGACAGAGCGAGACTCCGTCTCCAAAAAAGAAAAAAAAAAAATCAGTAATCAATATTATAACAAGATCATGCAAAGCCTATGGTCACCATGACAATAACAATAGTCATAACCTTACATTTATGGGATACCTTACTACGGGCCAGGCACTGTGCTATGCACTTTATATTTAGTTTCACATTTTATTCCCATTTTACAGGTGAAGAATTGAGAGCCAGCATGTTTATATAATTTGTTCATGATTACAAAGCCAGTGACTGGCAAAATGGAGATTTAAATCCAGGCAATCTGCTGTCAAAGCTTGCTTCTGACAGAAATTATCAACCTGAACCTGGGTAAGTCACCTCACATGTTGAGACTTTGATTTTATCCTCTGTAAAATGAGCAGAGTAATCTAGAATGGGTGCTCTCAAAAGTCCCTCCTAATGTTTTCTTGACAGCAATGCTATTTAAACCCAAATTTACAACATAAAGAAAATATCTCAGCTCTAGTACTTTTATTAAATTGGTACATAAGTAATTGTGGGTTTTGCCATTACTTTTATGGTAAAAAAGTAATGGCAAAACCCTCAATTACTTACGCACCAAACTCATACATACCTAGGTTTCCTTGTCTTATAGAAATATAGAAAGACTCATATATATAATTCCCCTCAGTGGAGTGCCTCACTGTTCCTGAGCTCTGTTGCTGAGAGGTGCATCACCAAAATGCATTGGCCTAATAGAAAACTTCACTAAGTCCCTCTGAATGGAGTCCAAAGAGAATCTTACTTAAAATGAATTCTACCAGACAGCACCTACACTACGTGGACATTAAGGACACATACAACAAAATTAGCTAGAGCTGTAGGACTTGAGTTCAGTCACTCTACCTCTCAGGATCTCAGTTTCCCTATTTATAGAAATGAAGTGACTTTTAGATAAAAGTAATCCCTAAGAAAGCAGCCACCAAAACCCAGGGAAACAAATCAACTTTATTAGAATAAAGAAGTATTATAGTTTGTAAAACAACATTCAAATACAGTGATTGCTAGGCCAGGCATGGTGGCTCATGCCTGTAATCCCAGCACTTTGGGACGCCGAGGCAGGTGGATCACCTGAGGTCAGGAGTTCAAGACCAGCTTGGCCAACATGGTGAAACCCATCTCTACTAAAAATATAAAAAATTAGCCGGGCGTGTGGTGGACGCCTTTAATCCCGGCTACTTGGGAGGCTGTGGCAGGAGAATTGCTTGAACCGGGGAGGCGGAGGTTGCAGTGAGCCAAGATCATGCCACTGCACTCCAGCCTGGGCAACAAAAGTGAAACTTTGTCTCAAAAACAAACAAACAAACAAACCAAAAAAAACAGTGTGATTGCTTTTCCAATATAAACCATGTAAGTAAAGCTACTCAAAATCTATTGTGTTGGTAGAAACTGGCAAAAAAGAAGCAGTGCAGGGTAGAATGGGTTTCTTTAAAAATTTTAACATACATTAGAGTAGATCACTTTAGAAAGACTCTTTTATTAATAGCTCAAAAAGTCTGTTAAATAAAAAATAAAGTTGGTATTCTATAAACTCTGATTTAAATAAAATCACATTTGCCAGAGTAAATATTTTGAAAAAGTCATCAGAACCACTTATTTTCTGCCTTATTTAGAAAAACTATCTCAACAAATGCACATACACAAAATTCTGCACACAAGACTCAGGTGTTCTTTGTTTCTAAGACAAACTTGGTATAGTTATCAACAGAAACCAAGTCTAATATTCCAGCCAAAGCACAACCAGCTTCCTCCTCTGATCCTAAAATTGCTTCAACACCCTAAGCTCCGTTTTATGAAAAAGAAATGAGATATAATGTATATGTAATTCTTCCTGAGGCCAAATAAATAATGCTCAATTTTCAATAAAATCTGTCCTCCTACAATTTTTTTGGCCATTTTTGCCTATCTAATAGCATCACCAGGGATGGAAAGATGAGACTAAACTCAATCCAGTTCATTTGGCTCTTACTAGCATCATTGGTGAATGGTTTGCTGAGTAACAACTGGCAATCCCTATACTACTCATCAATATCAGGTTTGAGGAAACTATGTAGATTTAATCTCTCGCTAATCCCCATGCCAGGAGATAATTCACCAACAGCTAGTTGTATTCAGAGTCAACTCCTAGAAAAAGATAACAAGATCTGTCTACATTATCAGCTCCCGAAACTCCCTGTAAGATTTTAGGTTATCCTCCAGGACTGAACTCAGGTAGGGAGCATGAGAATAAAGAGAGGGAATGTTAGAAAAAGAGGGCCTCTCCTACCAAATGCAGCCTCCCTGCCCTACCCCCTCCAAAAATAAGCACATAAATTCCAGAAAGCAAATTCCTCCTTTTGTCTATGAAACAAATCCCATCTTGCAAAATCTCTTCATTTTATTAAAATAAACAAATTTTAGAATGGGAAGAAATACAACTTAATATTAAAATCTTCCATTCCTGAAGGATCGTTGTGAAAATCCCTTGTGAAGATCCTCTCTCGTTAAAAACTCTCATATACACAATTTAGAGGTTTCAGGGACTCCCTTGAACTGTCAAAGTTAAAAATTACTACTCTAGCCTAGAGAGTCATATTCTTCTCAATAACCTCGTCTCTTCCTTTATGAATGAGAGCCACTCCAAACATCTGCAATGTAAAGAGATGAAGGCTGCAACTGCACCTGACACTATACCTCTGTCAAACTGTCAGTTCTACCAAGCACTCCTCAAAGGATTTCTGCTTCATTTCCTTGACCATCCAAATTGGGTCCTGATGGAGGCCTTCTCCTCTCCCCTTTTTATTTAACTGAGCCTGGAAGCTTATAACCAAATCAACTTATACGTGAAGGATAAGTGTTTGCCTAGGAGCAAAAGCCGCCCGTGAACACACACCCGTACTACACCTTTCCAACCCAAATGCCCAGGATGCTGCCAACTGCGATGGCTGTGGACTAGATCAGACAGCAAGAACAGAAACAAGGACACTCTTCATTTCAACCTTTTTGTCTGGGGCACTTCCTGAGTTTTTCATTGGCATTTAACACCAAGACACAAGACTCATTTTTCATTAAAGTTGCAAGACTTTCACTTTGCCCAGTTTCAAATGATGTAATTGATCTGTATTGTCTTCTTAACCCAACTGGTGAAGGACACTGCAGCTTTAAATATTTCAGTGCTAGCTAGCAAATAGACTCCATTGCAATATGGCTCTGAAGGTCACGTCCTATTGTCTCTTACCTCTTGCAAAAAAAAAAAAAAAAATCCTTCTTCTAGGTAACATGGAAAGGGTTGCCCTTAGAATTTCCACTCTTCCACCTTCTTGCCTTACACAGTTGTGAGTGTTGATTGGAATCTCACACTCATAATTTTCCCAGCAGGGGCAATATGCTGATTGTTATTAATGATTCTAGCACCTTAGCGAGACATAAACACATGTGTTCACATTAGTTCAATTGAGCATATGCAACCGTCTGAAATAGCACCACTCAAGGGTTGTTAACCTCTTTAAGAGTAAAGCCAGGGTGGTTTGGGTGTGGACAGCTTGCAGGCGGCACCCTGAGCTCAGGATTGCATAACCTGAAATGTGTAGCTACTCAAAATGATAGGAATCTCAGCCTACTCATCCTGGGACTATGCCGGCACCCTGCCACACACTTGCAGCTTTACTTGTCAAAGGAAGTCAAAATAAGAGGTACAAACACCATGAAGGAAAAAATAAACTAAAAGAAAACGGCTTCCTCTACCCTGAAGGGACGAATACGATTCCTCCAGCAATCGCAACGTTCTCCCAACCTCATCTTCCGAGAATGGAACAGCCCTAAAGAACTGGAGGCTTCGGAAGGAGAAAGAGGAGCTGGACATTGCTGCTTTTTTTAAATAAAAGCGGGTAGATGATTAAAAGACAGAGAAGGGGCAAAAGGAGCGGGGCAGGGGGAAGGAGTGTGCAGGTGCATCAGAGCATTACCTGAAATGGCAACAGATTGTTACCATTATCGGTCCGGAAAGCGTTATCCTCCATCCAGGACTTAGAAGTAAGCGGGGCCGCGCGAGGGAACTTGGGCGGCGCGATCACGTTGCTGGAGAAGGGTTTTTTGAGTGGCGAGATGGGGTTGAGCGGGGAAGGCACCCCGACACCCACACCCACGCCCACACCGACCGCCCGGCGAGGGTCCCGGCCCGCCTGCAGGCCGCCCCAGGGGTTGGACGGTGCGCTCCAGGCTGCATTCACGCTTTGGTGCGTGTTCCAGCTGGACGAGGCCGACGAGGCGGCGGCTGCGGCAGCAGCGGCTGCAACCGCCGAAGACGAGGACGGCTTGCTGGTCATGATGGGCTGGTGGCCGTACGCCGCGGCGGCGCTCCTCTGCGCGTAGGGCGCCTGGCTGGGGCTGGCGGGCGAGCGGCGCTGCTGCGGGGGCTGCGCCTGCGGGGGCTGCGCCGGCTGTGCCGGCTGCGGCGCGGGCGCAGGCGGCGGCGGCTGCTGGTGGTGCTGGGTCTGCGCCAGGCCGATCTGCGGGGAGAAAGTGCCTCCGAAGACTGGGTTGACATGGTGCGGGAAGTTCTGGAAGAGCATGGTCCCGTTGACTGGGGTGATCCCCTGGAAGAAGCTGTCCTCTACCGCGTTCGTGGTGCCCGTGGACCAGGTGCTGCCGAAGGACGGCGACAGCGACGCGCCCGGCGCCGCAGGCTCCTGAGGCGGCGGCGGCTGCTGAGGGGGCTGATGGAAACTCAAGCCTGGCAGGAGCGGTGATTCCATCTGCATCTTGTCCGAGCCGTTGGGGGCCGGCGGGGCAGCGGCTGGGCTGAGGGCCTGCACTGCGCTGTTTTCCTCCGGCTTGGGGGTCTCTGAGGAGTGGGGCGTGGACGGGGTTTCGGATACGCTGGACTCAGGTTGGGGCTGCTGCTGCTGCTGCTGCTGCTGCCGCTGCTGCTGCTGGGGCTGGGGCTGGGTTTTGCTTTTGTCCATCAGTAAATCATCCTGCATGGTTTGCGCAGCTGAAACGGGAAAAAAGAGAGACGCGTTATTGTCAATGTGATCATGAATGTCCCTCGCTGAAGCGGGTGGGTGTTTCACTTGCGAAAATCCATCGCCACAGCTACTAGCCAATTGCAATGCAAATCCATAATCTCCCATTTAGAAGAACAGGTCGGGCTGTTGGGTTGGGGGGTAGGGAAGGTGTCGAGCAAGGTCTCTAAAGATACTGTGAGAGCGTCTTCACCCTTTCAGAAGTCTTGGTTCCTTTTCTGTACTAGTGAGAGATGTGCTTATAAGACAGAAAGACAGCAATTTCGCCACGTCTCTTTTCCCTTCACCGGAACTCAGAGCGTTCGCCCTGCAATGAGAAACTGATTCTGGTTCCTGTTTTTTCCCAAGCACCACCCTCCCCCAGTTATTTGCATACGTCAATAAATACTGCTGCGTCCTTCAGCAAGGTTAAAAAGACACCGCCACACGACCCTTTCTTCTCCCTTCCCCAGCTCGAACACTTTTTGAAAAAACAAACAAAACAAACAAAAAAACAGTTTCAGCCCTCTTTATTAGCAACCTGCCTTCTTGCGTTGGTAATTGTTTCATTTAGCTGCAGCGAACCACGAGGGAGGAAATCCTTGGCATTTGTTAGAAGGACTCAGCTGCACAATCATTCTCTGGCCTCCCAGTAGCTGCAGCTACTCCATTTTGTTAGGAGACAGTTTTTAAAAAAAACGTTTTTAAAGAAGTAAAAACCTACTGAAACGTTTGGAAGTGCTTGCTTCTTGTTACTCTAAGGATTATGGTTTTTCTGCTTATTCCCCAATTTTCTTGTCTCCAATTCTGCCGCACAAGAGATTTCTTGGCATCTCAGTGCTTCAGGTCTCAACAGGAGCCTGAGAATTTCTCTGCAGAGTGGAGAAATGCTTCTGGTTGGATTTAAGGTCAGAGAGAGAGAGTGCGCGCGAGCGAGCGAGCGCCTGTGAGATAGGGTGGGGGTGGGGCTTTAAAAAAAACCCTGAGATTTAAGTAGACAGTCAAGATAATTCTGGGGTTGCCAGATTTTCAATTTTGAATCCTCCTGCTGCTGTTGGTCACAAGACTTTGGCAAATTTAGAATCCATTCTCTTATCACTCGTATTAGCAGCGAAACACTATGGTTTGAAGACCCTGAATTACCATATGCTAGCAAAAGTGTTAAAAATAGAGGAGTACAAAGTCCCAAATTTTCATACATTGTAATTATAGTGCATTGCCATCACTGCTTCATTTAGCCATATAAGGAGTGTATGGTATTTTCCATCTCACATAGAAGGGCTATATTCACCTCTACCATATAGCCTGTTTTCTTATTCAAGGATGAAAATTAATCACTCAAAACCCAGAGATTGCCATACATGTAGTTAGCTTGTCCTTAGAACATGTTAATTGCCTTAAATATATAAATATTACACTTCTGAGACCCTAAAAACAAATATTTTGAATGTTAGGGGCATATGACCAAACATATAATTATTTTTAGATGATGATTCAGTACAATTGCAACTAAGTTATTAATAAATTTAATGCAGTTACTTAATTAACCCAGATACTTGGAGAGGAATCTTTCTCAGGACACTTGTGAAAAGGCATTCAGATACACACAGAAGCTCTGGCTCTAGACATCCTCATGATAATAACTATTGTTAAAATCAATGTATCAGAAAATGAAATTATTAACTATTATGCAAAATATATCAGACAAGAAATGGGATTAAAAGTAGTTCGATTATTTTATTAAAAACTATCATTAAAATGGTTCATTAATATCTTTTATTTCAAAGTTTCATACACAAAATAGTGGTGGGCTAAAGGAAATGCTTCGCAGCCACCTTGCTCTCCCTTCTATTCCTCATTCCCCTGCCTTTCCTCCCTTCAACCCCCCAGGGAAAAAACCCAACTCAATATAATATACAACACAGATTGCCGGCTACTACCAATAAAATCTGTTTAAGATTGCTTTCATGTTCCTCAGTTCCCTTGGTCTAAAACAATGGCTTTGATCGGTATTGCAAAATACAATACAAAGAGGCAAATGAAGCTTTGATTTAGAAAGACAAAGTTCTATTGCTGCCAAAGAAGATGGTCACAGAAACAGACATTTTCATACTTGGTTTAAACAGTGCTGCAGTAAACCATTATAATCTGAGATTTGAGTCACTTTCAGTGAGCTAGAATTGTCTTTATAATAGCCATATCATCATGGCTGAAATAGGCATTTGATTATAATTTTAATATCACTCTGCTTTTCCGGTTGCTTTTATCAATGCTTGTTGTTAATGCCTTCAGTTTAAACTACATGCTCTTCATGGAAAAATTAATGCTATACCTCAGCAAAAAAGCCAAAAAGTAAGCTGGACTCAGAACATTTTATAATAGCTGTAATCAATGTTAATATATTCATTGAATTTTAAAAATTTTATACCAGGAACACCCATTTCTCTTCTCAACACTCCTTAAAAATATAAATTTCGCTTTCTGCATAAATTCACTCTGTCAAGGTCAAGACACACCTTTAATAAATAAGACCTTTTCAAACAAAAGGTAAGCAATAGATTAAGATAAAATTTACAAAGGTAGTATGCAACGTCTCTCAGCAACTGCCTGTATAGTTTGTTTTGTGTTCTTGGGGTTGTTTTTTGTTTTTTCGGGTTTTTTTTGTTTTGTTTTTGTTTTTGCTTATTTACAGCAAAGTGAGAAATAGATACCTCCTTCCCCTCCCCCACCACACACAATAGATATTCTTTTACATGCAATAACCCAATTTCAAGTAACAAAATCTTAGTAGCAGTTACCTTTGAGTGTCCAGTTTTTAAGAATCGATAAAATTTAAAAGTATACAGTATTTATTTTCTTCTTTCAGGTTGATTATGTGACCGCTCTGGCAAAAGCACTTTGACAACTGTAAGATGAGAGGGCATGCGCACACAGGGAACTGTGGGGGCTGAAGTCCTTCACAAGGTACTCGGTCTGACTTCAGCACGTTCAGCCGGGAAAGGAGGAAGTCTCACAAATACAGATTCTGAGGGGAAAAGGTTGTGTCCTGATTACATTATATCCTACTAACCAATCTAAATTATGAGTTGTTGAAATAAAAGGGAGAAAAATAAATTGGTTTGTCAACTTGCCATAGAAAGCCAGGATAAAGGGAAACTGAATTGCAGTACTCAGAATAAATAAACCAAGCAGAGCTACCTTAAATGGTTAGAATGGTAATGACTGGGTAGCCAGCAATAGGAATCCTACTAGAAAGAGACTGGGGTGGAGAGGAATAGGCAAGGGAGGGGGAACTACTGGAGAATGTTAGATACTTAAAATCTGACCATACTTAAACACTTAAATAATTTTTTAAAAAAATTTTCAGCAGAGATGGCATAAAATAATCACTTTTAGTATAGAATAAAAAACACCTTAATATTAAATGTGATATCAACCTTGGAGGTCAGGTAAAAATAGATTTTAGTCATAAATTTTTGACATCCACCAGATGTCTTTGTATTTTAGTTTTCAATGCAGGAATAAATCACTTATTTTAAGACTGTACCTGATAAGCTCTGAATCAACTCACCTCCTTATTTTTGTCAAAATAAAAGTTTACCTTGCATTATTCATACAAATGATTACTCGAATAAACTTCAACTCTTATACTACAATAATATTTGGTGAAATATTTTTAAATAATTGTATATGCTGCCGGGCAGGGTGGCTCATGCCTGTAATCCCAGCGCTTTGGGAGGCCAAGGAGGGTGGATCACCTGAGGTCAGGAGTTCAAGACCAGCCTGGCCAACATGGTGAAACCCCGTCTCTACTAAAAATAAAAAAATTAGCTGAGCATGGTGGCGGGAGGCTGTAATCCCAGCTACTCGGGAGGCTGAGGCAGGAGAATTGCTTGAACCTGGGAGGTAGAGGTTGCAGTGAGCTGAGATCGGGCCACTGCACTCTAGCCTGGGTGACAGAGTAAGACCCTGTCTCAAAAAATAATAACAATAATTGTATATGTTTAGTGTCATACTGCATAAGACAATGATTTCTTTCTTCAAGACAAACAGTAGATACAGTTTTCTGTTTTCTGTTGTTTTTTTGAGACGGAGTCTCGCTCTGTCACCCAGGCTGGAGTATAGTGATACGATCTCCGCTCACTGCAACCTCTGCCTCCTGGGTTCAAGCGATTCTCCTGCCTCAGCCTCCCAAGCAGCTAGGACTACAGGTGCGTGCCACCACGCTCGGCTAATTTTCTGTATTTTTAGTAGAAACAGGTTTTCACCGTGTTAGCCAGGATGGTCTAGATCTCTTGACCTCGTGATCCACCCGCCCCTGCCTCCCAAAGTACTAGAATTATAGGCATGAGCCACTGCGCCTGGCCCAGTTTCTATTAAAAACTTTTTTTTTGGTATGGTTTTTCCTATTTTAACCTCATGATTCCAAGGCTGGAATCTCACAACATATTAAAATCAACTGCTATTATCTATAGCTTCTGAGAGCAATAGTTCAAGAACCGGTTTGTTCATGTAGGCAGAAGATATTTCTTGTGGGATTTGGTTCAGTGCCACTCACCCAAGCGGTTAGGAATAAATGTCAGTTGATGACTGTGCTGATTGAACTTGTAACTGAAAATGTCATCATTTAAAATTGTCTTAATTTTCTATTTCCCTTCTTCACCAACCAGAACTGAAGTATTACCAGAAACCACTGATTTGAAGCATATTGTAATCTTTGTTTCTAGTTATTTCTTTAAAAACAAACAAACAAAAAAGAAACCTAAGAAAAGAGTCTTTTTTTTTTTTTTTTTTGAGACTGAGTCTCGCTCTGTCACCCAGGCTGGAGTGCAGTGGTGTGATCTCGGCTCACTGCAACCTCTGCCTCCCAGGTTCAAGTGATTCTCCTGCCTCAGCCTCTTGAGTAGCTGGGATTACAGGCACGTGCCACCATGCCCAGCTAATTTTTGTATTTTTAGTAGAGACCAGGTTTCACAACAGTGGTCAGGCTAGTCTCAAACTCCTGACCTCGTGATCTGCCCACCTCAGCCTCCCAAAGTGATGGGATTACAGACATGAGCCACCGTGCCTGGCCAATAATCTATTTTTTGACCCCCTAAGATTCTAGCCTAAGTCTGCAAGAAAAGAATTACTTTGAATGAATCCACCAAAAGATCTATGTAAAACTAAATGTTTACTTATTCCTACTGTGATGTGACCTTAGCTTACATTTCCCATTTTTTTTCTCTTCCTCTACCCTCCTAAAGAAAGCTCCACTTTTGCCAAGGTGCTGTGGTCACTATTTGGATTCCAAAATTTGCAAGGATCAACTCACGGTTAATTTTATTCCTGAAGACTTTGCTAACCTACCAAACTTTTGCCACATTTTCAAGTACTCTAACTAAAATAAAATAGTCGGGCGCAGTGGCTCATGCCTGTAATCCCAGTATTTTGGGAGGCCGAGGCGGGTGAATCACCTGAGTTCAGGAGTTTGAGACCAGCCTGACCAACACAGTGAAACCCCGTCTCTACTAAAACTATAAAAAATTAGCCAGATGTGGTGGCAGGCACCTGTAATCCCATCTACTCGGGAGGCTGAGGCAGGAGAATCACTAGAACCTGCGAAGTGGAGGTTGCAGTAAGCCGAGACCGCACCATTGTACTCCAGCCTGGGAGACAGGGCAAGACTGCGTCTCAAAAATAAATAAAATAAAATAAAATAAAAGTAAATACCCTTCATAACATCCTTATAGCTTTAAGAAATGGATTTTCAAGTACTCTAAAATAAAATAATCCTTCATAACATCCTTACAGCTTAAAGAAATAGATTTTTTAAATTATTTGAAATTAGGATGTCAACTTTTTTTTTTTTTGACACAGAGTCTCACTCTGTCGCTCAGGCTGAAGTGCAGTGGCACAATCTCGGGCTCACTGCAACCCCTGCCTCCTGGGTCCAAGCAATTCTCCTGCCTCAGCCTCCCAAGTAGCTGGGGTTTCAGATACCCGCCACGACACCCGGCTAATTTTTTGTAATTTTAGTAGAGACGGGGTTTCACCGTGTTAGTCAGGAGTATCTTGATCTCCTGACTTCATGATCCACCTGCTTCGGCCTCCCAAAGTGCTGGGATTACAGGCATGAGCCACCACACCCGGCCTAGGATGTCAACTTTTAATCAGTAACATAGAAATTTTTAAGTTATTACTTTCAAAGTTATGACTTGAAATGGTTTCTCTGGGCATTTATTAATCCACCTGACTCAAAGTGCAGGTCTATTAATATGCACAACAGACAAAAATAAACTTTGGCTCTAACCCTTGTTAAACCATAATTAACACTGCCCATACTTAATGGGATTGTATTGTATTGAAAAATAAACTAATCTCTGCTCTTTTTTTTTTCCTTCCCTAAAATGAGCCTCAAATCTAAAAAGAAAATGACTCGAACATAAACACCAAGGTATAAATATATACCAAGAAAAGAAAAAATTATCAGAGAACCCTCAACAAGAACAAAGCTCTTCTCTACTGAAATGTTGTTTTTTCACTTAACCATAAAAAAGGTATCTTCTTTTTTATTTTTGTAACAGAGTCTTGTCTGTCGCCCGAGGTGGCACGACCTCAGCTAACTGCAACCTCCACCTCCCAGGTTCAAGCAATTCTCCTGCCTCAGCGTCTTGAGTAGTTGGGACTACAGGTGCACACCACCAAGCCTGACTAATTATTTTATTTTCTTTTATCTTTTTATTTGTTTTGAGATGGAGTTTTGCTCTTGTTGCCCAGGCTGGAGTGCAGTGGCGCGATCTCAGCTCACCACAACCTTTGCCTCCCGGGTTCCAGTGATTCTCCTGCCTCAGCCTCCCGAGTAGCTGGGATTACAGGCATGTGCCACCACACCTGGCTAATTTTGTATTTTTAATAGAGATGGGGTTTCTCCATGTTGGTCAGGCTGGTGTTGAGCTCCCAACTTCAGGTGATTCGCCCACCTTGGCCTCCCAAAGTGCTGGGATTACAGGTTAATTTTTATATTTTAAGTAGTGACGGGATTTCACCTTGTTTGCCAGCCTGGTCTCGAACTCTTGACCTCAAGAGATCCGCCTGCCTCGGCTTCCCAAAGGCTGGGATTACAGGTGTGAGCCACCGCACCTAGCCAAAAAAGAGGCACTTTCTGAAATTTTATCTTCAGAGCACAGAACTTCACCATAAATCACCGCCCCCACCTCCTACTTTTTTTTTTTTTTTTGCTTTGAGACAGAGTCTCGCTCTGTCACCTAGGCTGGAATGTAGTGGCGTGATCTTGGCTCACTGCAACCTCTGCCTCACAGCATAAACCCCTTTTGAGTAGCCATTAAGTGCTATAAAAATACTTCACAGAGTTAACTCACGGAGATATATAGTTATTCCTCGGTATCTTGCTAGCTTAGTTCCAAACCCCCTACCCCACCAAATGTCAAAATCCACAGATGCTCAAGTAAGTCCCCTATATAAAATGATATACTATTTGCATAAAACCTATGCACATCCTCCTATATACTTTAAATCATCTCTAGATTACTTATAATACCTAACACAATGTGTTATGTAAATAGTTGTTATACTATATTGTTTAGGGAATAATGGCAAAAAAAGTTTGTACATGTTCTGTACAAATGTAAGCATTCATTTTTTCCAAATATTTTTGATCTGCGGTTGGTTGAATCAAAGAATATGTGGATATGGAACCCACGGATAAGAAAGGACAACTGTACACGGGTCAAATACATCATTTTGAGCCTCCTTCCTTCTTTTCCTTCCCTACTTACATCCCTAGCACAATGCTTATATGTCCTGGGTAGTTGGTAGGTGCACTATACATGCTTGCTGAATATATGGATAAATGGATGGATGAATAAAGCATAGTTTTTGTATTACTTAAAACAGCCAGGTTCCAGTAAGTATTAAATTCATTTAGAAGAGCAATTAATTTTCCCTCAGCTGCAAGGATGGGAAGGGGAGTGGTATAAAATAGAAAACCACTTTGGCTTTTATGATGGTCAGTAGTATGTAGACTATTTTATTATCATCATGAAATAACAGACCCACACCCCACCCTTCCACAGAAATTGTTTCTCCAAGATTACAATAGACACTCTGAGTTAAGCCCAATGGATGTTTGTCAGTCTATCTTGCTTGACCTTGCAACAACATTGACATAACTGACCACACTTTCTGGATATACAGTCATGCATAGCATTAACAATATTTCAGTGAAACCACATATACAATGGTGGTCCCAAAGATTATAATGAAGCTGAAAAATTCCAATCACCTCCTCACTTTGTAGCTGTCAATGTCATAGTGCAAAAGCATCACTCATCTATTTGTTGGGATACTGGTGTAAACAAAGCCACTGTGCTGCCAGTTGTATAAAATTACAGCACATAAGGCCGGGTGTGGTGAATCACGCCTGCAATTCCAGCACTGTGGGAGGCCAAGGCAGGCGGATCACAAGGTCAGGAGATCAAGACCATCCTGGCCAACATGGTGAAACCCCATCTCCACTAAACATACAAAAAAATTAGCTGGGCATGGTGGCAAGCGCCTGTAGTCTCAGCTACTCAGGAGGCTGAGGCCGGAGAATCTCTTGAACCCTGAAGGCGGAGGTTGCA